GACGGGAGACAAGTTTGGGGGGAGGGAGGTCCGAAGTTGGGCGGCGGTCGACCTCTTGGGTTTGGGGTGGGGGGGGTCCGAAGTTGGGCGGCGGTCGACCTCTTGGGTGGTGGGCGGGGCCTGCGCGGCCTCGGAAGTTCGACTGTGAGCGAACCGTACTCCTGGAATTAGGGCGGTGGGTCCAGTTGCTCCCGATTCTTCCCGCTCGGGAGGACTCGACTTGTGGGGTCTTGTACTCAGTCTTAAAAAGTCCCAGAGATCTTCCAGCCAAAGATTCCGGCTTTACTCTGTTTTAAAGTTGGGGGACAACTTTAGAAAGAAAAGAAATGTTGTCCAGTCCTAGAAACATCTGCCAGAGTTCCTGGAAGTCGGGCGCAGAATTGCTGACTGGCCGAGGTTCAGCCGCTCTGCTGCCCGCGGGAGGTTCGGGTACACGTCTCTCCGAACAAGGGCGGAGGCCTGTTCCCGGCCACGGTGACGGGGTGACGTCGGTGTGACGTCGCAGCAGACCCGGCCTTTTTGTTACTCGGGTAGGGATGATGCATTTTCATTGCAGTTTCGGTAGGTTGCAGTCGTGTGTGCTCTTGCCATAATAGGGTGAGTGGTGCCTCTGGCCGGGACTTACTTGAAAGGACCTTTTTGTGGCACTTGGGGCCGCAGCGGGTTACAATCACAGTCAAAAGCATTTCCGCTTCTTAGACGTGAGCTAGCAAATGGTCGGCAGCCGCACTGACAAAAGGAACGAATGTCATAACCCTAGGAGGCCTCTTCGGCGGTCAGTGGCATTTGCTTTTATGAAGCGCTACAGAATCTCTGCAGGGTTTTGGAGAGAATTAACTCCATCCTTCTAAACATTTGACGAAAATCCGCAAGGGGTGTTTGGGTGGGGGCTGTTCATTTCTTTGTGTCTTGCTGATGGTTTGTGTCTTCCTTGCTCAGAACTCTGGTTTATTTTGGACGAAACCCGAGGCTGTTATAATCAGCCAATTTCGCAGAAGTCCTTTCTTCTCTGCTTTACACTTGAAGAAATCAAGGCTCTGAGTGAACTTTGGAATGTAGAGTGACTTACTACTTGCTTTGCAGTTTGTAACTATCCGGTAGGTGCTAGATTAAAAAGGAAATTGTAGTCAGAGATGTGGAAAACCTCAGCTCTTCTAAACACAAAAAGGGAAGACTAAGCCCTTATGTTTTAAATTTAGGGCGTATCGTCATCGTTATTATTACTGATGATAATTTCATTTTCTTCAATCTGAACTATATTGACCATCAGAGATATGGTCTACTTTCAGGATTGTCAATATTATTAATAAAAATTCTTAAAATACCAACTTCCAAAACAGCAAACCATTATTTGGTGCTTATTAACCCATGACATGTTAATACCACCAGTATGATCTGGGAGTTTGAAAAATATATCCATGCTTTGGTTGGATGTTATACTCTGGCAAAAGTGATTCTATTAATCTGTAGAATATTGATTTTAAGCCATATATTTTCATGTTTTAAAAATTTAGTCTTTACGTTCCTCATGTTTCTGAGTGTAGCATATTCATTTAATATAGCTGAACAGGACTATAAGATTAGGTCTTTGCAAATGATTTTTTTTTTTTTTTTTATCCTCACCCGAGGAGAGGACATTTTTCCATTTTTCGTTCAGGTAGAGTGGGAGGGAGAGAGAGGAACAGATATATAGAGAGAAACATCGATGTGAAAGGAACACACTGAGTGGCTGCCACCCGCACGACCCACCAGGGCCGGGGACAAACTGCAACTGAGGTACGTGCCCTTAGCGGGAACCGAACCCTGGTCTCTCAGGACCGCAGGCTGACGCTCTAACCACTGAGCCAAACCAGCCAGGGCGGTCTTTGCAAATGATTTTATTTTTTATTTTATTTTTTTTAATCCTCACCCGAGGACATTTTTCCATTTTTTGTTCAGGTAGAGTGGGAGGGAGAGAGAGGAACAGAGAGAGAGAGAAACATCGATGTGAAAGGAACACATCGAGTGGCTGCCACCCGCACAACCGACCAGGGCCGGGGACAAACTGCAACCGAGGTACATGCCCTTAGCGGGAACCGAACCCGGGTCTCTCAGGACCGCAGGCCGACGCTCTAACCGCTGAACCAAACCGGCCAGGGCTTTGCAAATGATTTTAACAAGGACAGATTATTGTTTGCTATCTAGACGAAATAGCATGTGTTAGTGAATTGATAGTGGAAGTTTGAGTGTAGAGTTAAAGGTTTGGTTCCAGGATCTGCCACTTTAGGTGAGTTATTCAACTCTAAACTTTAGTTCCTTTGTTTGTAATTTGGAAGGATGAGACTAAAACTTATTTCACAGTATCACAATGTGCTAATGCAGTTAAACTCTTTCAGCCTTGTCTCTTGTTCATCATTTGGCTCTTCCTTGCTCAGAACTCATTTATCTGGGCAAAACATCAAGCTGTATAATCAAAAAACTTGAGAGAAGTCCATGTTAGATACATGAGTAAAATCAGAGTTCTATTAGCAGGAAAAGGGTGCAGGGTGGGGAGGGGGCCAATAATAGGCAACCAACATTTTTTTGAAAGACTCATTATGGTCATCATTGAATTGAAAAAATCCTCTACTAGTGAAAGATAAATATGAATATTTTAAAAGCTTTTCAAAAACATTTTAATTAGTGCATAACATATGTAGAAAGATGCACAGATCATAACTGTAGAGTTCTGTGTAATATCACAAAGTAAACATTACCCAGAGTAAGAAATAGATCATTTGTCAGTCCTGAACTGCCCCCCTATGCCTCCTCTCATTCACTACCTCCTGTCTCCCACCCAATAGTCACCACTACTCTAGTCAGATAATTAATTTCAATTAATTCTGCCTGTTTTGGGAGTATTATTTATTATTCATTTATATTTTTCCCTAGTTTTATTGAGTTATAATTGACAAATATAATTGAATATAGATGTGATTTTGTTGTTAATCCTCACTGGAGGATTGGGTTTTTTTTAGAGAGTGTTGAAGGGGGGGAGCAGAGAGAGAGAGAGAAACATGGATGTGAGAGAGACACATCGACTGGTTGCCTCCTGCACGAGTCCCAGCCAGGGCTGGGGATTGAACCTGCAACCTAGGTATGTGCCTTTGACCAGGAATCAAACCCGTGACCCTTTGGGGGGTAGGCATATACTCTAACCACTGAACCACCCCAGCCAGGGCTAGAACTGAGTATTTTGATATATAGACTCACCCTGCCTTATAGATAATTTGTAAAATTTCTTGGAATTTTAAATCAATTACAATGGGGGAAAAATTGCTTCTTTGAATTCCTGAATTAATATCCATTTATCCCATTAAAATGGACACAATTGATGAAATTAGGTGTCATAACATAATATAACAGGTCATTGTGCTTTCATTGATTATTGTGTAACCTGGCTTTATGATGTGGTTTCTACCTTCCTCCATGTAGTGTTTTTGTGGCTTTTGAATATCTAAACCACTGACAGGGCCTAAGATATTCAGTGCTCATAAAGTTGAATTGTTCATGGGGAGTGAGGGGAGGAAGAGTGAAAACAAGAAATCATTGGAAACAGTGGAAAGATGCATAAGATTAAGAAAGAACAGACTAAACCTGCAGGACTATAAGGAGAATTGACTTGGGAACCAACCTCACAAAGTGCAGCAGACCCACCTGGAGGGCTTCGCCTGAGCTAAAATCATGCTTGCAGGAGACACTTCAGATCTTAGTTGTCTTGGCAGATTTTAAGAGGCAAGACTTGGGCTGAAGGAGAGATCCCAAATAGAACTCATAAAACTGAAATTTTATACTCCAGTAGGTATATTTCAGGACATGATTGTAATTCCTTCTGTTTCTTTACTCTGAGTATTTTTTAAATGTTTTTAAACATTCACATGCAATATTTTTGAAAACTGCTGGATGTATTTCAGAGTATGGATGGGTCACAAGGTATTCTTCTGTATATGTAAATTGTGCTATATGCTTTTTGTTCTTTGTAATGTCACTGGGAACATCCTTATACGTACTTAATTTTTATCAGCATCTCTGATTTGATTGCTCAGAATAAAGAACTTTTGAGTGGAGGAATTCATTCCTTTAAAAATAAATTTTGTTATAAATGTAATTTGTGTTTATTGTAGAAAATTTGTGAAAATTGAATAAAAGTGTAAAGAAGAAAGTAAAACTCATCTTGTCATCCAGATATAATCCTTGCTAACATTTTGGTATCTTTCATTATGTCTTTTTTGTTTGTGTGTGTGTGTGGGGGGGGGGTACATATATATATATCTAACTTACAGACCAAAATTTTGAATGGCCATAGAATATTTCACTTTATGAATGTGCCATAATTCATTTAACTGAGTCCTTTATTTTGGGGGCAATTAAATAGTTCTTTTAAAAAAATAATTGTCGCCCTGGCCGGTTTGGCTCAGCGGTTAGAACGTCGGCCTGCGGTCCAGAGAGACCCGGGTTCGGTTCCCGCTAAGGGCATGTACTTCGGTTGCAGTTTGTCCCCGGCCCTGGTTGGTCGTGCGGGTGGCAGCCACTCGATGTGTCCCTTCACGTCGATGTTTCTCTCTCTCTCTCCCTCCTATTCTCTCTGTACAAAAAATGGAAAAATATCCTCGGGTGAGGATTAAAAAAAAAAAATTTATAAAAAAAAAAAAAAATAATAATTGTCCATTTAATGATCAACTGCCATGTGTCAGGTTCTGTGCTAAGCTCTGGAGACATTATGCAAGAATTTCCTGCCTTCTGTGAGCTTACTTAGAAATAATTCTCAAATTACAGCTGTCCTAACTGTTTCAAGGGAGACATACAGGGTGCTGTGAAAATGTGTAATGGGAAGACGTAGGGTGGCTTCCCTGAGGCTATGACAGCGAAGGATGGACGGCATCTGGCCAGGAGAAGAACGTACCAAAACGGGTTGCAGGGGAAGAGGGATGTAAAATACCCTTCTAAGATGTATTTTCCGTATCTGTAGGAAATGGGAAAGGAGGCCTAACACAAATGCCAAACATGTTTTATTTCTTACACCCTCCACCACACCCCCATTCGCACAAGGCTTGGTCAGTAGAAAACTGCTGAGAAGAGCGATCCCGGCGTCACTCCATTTGCAGAGCCTGGTAAAATGGGATAAATGTGGATGAATGTGGGCAGCTGCGCCAACCAGAATTAGAGCTATAAAGGAGGCAAGAAATGTTTTTTCAAATATTTGTTTTGAGCCCTGGCCAGTTTGGCTCAGCGGTTAGAGCATCGGCCTGCGGTCCGGAGAGACCCGGGTTCGGTTCCCGCTAAGGGCATGTACCTTGGTTGCAGTTTGTCCCCGGCCCTGGTTGGTCGTGCAGGTGGCAGCCACTCGATGTGCCTCTTTCACGTCGATGTTTCTCTCTCTCTCTCTCTCTTTCTTCCTCTCTCTCCCTCCCACTCTATCTGTGCAAAAAATGGAAAAATGTCCTCGGGTGAGGATAAAAAAAAATATATATATATATATATATATATTTGTTTTGATATAATTCTTACCAGTCCTGTGAAGTAGTCATTACTTCCTTTTGCAAATGAGAAAATCGAGGCTTATGTCAAGTACCCAAGTCATAGGGCTAATAAATTACAGAGCTAGAATTCATACAGTAGAAAGAAAGTTCTGTGTTTTTTCCACCATCATTATGGCTTCCACTCTCTTACCTTCAATACCTTCCTGACCCCCGGGTCCCCTCAGTCCTCATGGCCTTTATCTGGGCAACCTCATCCCACCACCCTCTGCCCCAAAATGTGCTACTTTTTTGAGGGTACTTCCTCTTGTTTGGCAGTGTCTCATGTTACAGGAAGGTGGTCCATAGTATCCTCTACTGTTCTGATGTGACCAGGGTAGCAAGGCCCACCTACAGCCTTTGTACAAGTGTGGAAGGGTGGTTATGTGAGTTTGACTGCAGCAGACCATTGCACAAGACCACCGTCAGCCTAGGTGTTTTGAAAATCCCTTCCAGGTACTTTTATTTTTTTACACCCCCACCCCCAACATTTTATTATAAAATAATTTTAAAGTGCAAAGTTAAAAAGTTTGTACAGTGAATTCATATATATCCAACATTTATATCATTGTACTCTGCTTGCTTCATCACAGAACCATCTATCACTTATTCTTTTCTCTATCCACCAGTCTGTCCGCAAAGTAAATCAGAGATACCAGTATACTTCCCCTTAAATATTTCAGCATATAGACCACTAGCTAGAGTTCAATATGCTTATAGATTTTTCTTTTGATATAAAATTCACCTGTAATTCTTAAGAGTATTACCTGCTGAGTATTGACCAATGCTTATGCCTGTAAATCCTAACCTCCCACTGAGATGCTAGAACATTACCTTCACCCCAGAAAGCTCCCCATGCCTCATCCCATTCAGTCCTTACCCTGTCCTGGGGCAATCAGTCTTTTTTCAACAACACAGATTAGTTCGAATGTTCTAGAATTTCATGTACATGGAATTATATAGTATGTATTCTTTGTAAAAGGCTTACTTTACTCAGCACATTGTTTTTGTGACTCGTTCACATTGTTGTATTTAGTAGTAGCTTGTTTCTCTTTACTGCTGGGTAGTATTCCATTGTGTGAACATACCACAGTTTGTTTTTACCCATTCTCTTATTGATGGACAACTGTTTCCAATTTGGGGCTATTGCCAGTCAGCTGCTTTGACCATTGCACAAGTCTTTTGGGACATACATTTTCATTTCTCTTGGGATTGGACTTGCTGGGTCATAGTGTAGGTACATGTTTAGTTTTATAAGAAACTGCCAGACCTTTTCCCAAAGTGGTTGTACAGTTTTATACTCCCACCAACGATGTATGGGAATTCTGGTTGCTATGTATCTTCACCATTATTTGTATATTCTGGTGGTTGTGTAGTAGTATCTCATTGTGCTTCCCTGTGGATTTTTATTCTTTATTTCAGTTTGAGGAAATTGAATGAATATGAGTGAATGAAAGAAGAGTAAAAGGATGAAGCAAATAGTTCTGCTTTGAAATTTATGCTTTGCATATTTCATAGCTCCGATGTACAAATTATCCACATCCTCATCCTTTTCATATTGTCCTATTCTTTTAAAATAGTTCATTGTTCTTTTTATATTCTTCAAATTCCTTCTTTTGCTCATGATTACTTTAAGGCTATTCATTAATTTAATTACCTGCAGTGTCTAATACTGCTATTTGTTATATCTGCTGAGTCTGGTTCATGGTGAACTTTTTCTTTGTGTTTTATAATTTTGGAAAAGGAGCTCATGTTAATTTAGTTCTTTATTTCTAGGAATTTTGTCTGGCCTGGCTGGATTGTGTTTTGTTCCGTTTTAGCCTTATAATCGAGGGATGCCATCAGTCTGTGATCACTTTCTATGTAAAAGCTTAGTTTGGGGGATCCTAGCTATAAGAGGACTGTAAATTCAAAGTTCAAATCTATTTGAAGACAGGCCCAAGGTTAGACATTCACACAGAGACATTTTTTGTTCCTCAGGCTCAGTCTATGACAAGTTCCTTTGCTAGTGGACTACTTTTTTCCTAGTCCATCCTTTCAAGGAAGGGTAAAGGGCACACTGAGGAGTGCCACATTCTTTCTATCAACCCTCTTTTCTTGCATTCCCTGACCTCAGCTCTTGTCCCTATCTGGGCTTTAAACCCTGGCCTCTGGATCGAGAGGTTAGTAGTGCCTCCGACGGCCACTGTCTTAGCTGCTATAACAAATCACAGACTGGGTGGCTTAAACAATGGGCATTTATTTCTCACAATTCTGGAGGCTGAGAAGTCCACCATCAAGGTGCCAGCAGACCTGTTTGTGGCGAGGTCTCCCTTCCTGGGCCACCTCTCTTTGTGTCCTCACATGGTGGAGAAAGAAAACTCCCTCCTGTCTTTCATAAGGATCCAAATCCCCACCTTCATGATCTAATTATCTTTCAAAGTCCCCACCTTCTAATACTATCACATTGGAGATAGGACTGTAACCTGTGAATTTGGGAGTGGACACAACATTCACTCCATAGCAGCTCCTGTGTGGGCCATGGCCCTGTGGCCAGCGCTCTGTTTTCAGTCTCTGGGGTTTTCCTTCCTGCTGAGCCTGGCTGTGCATTGAATGGGTATTTGTATCATGTTACCTGATGTATGGGTCCTTTGTAGCAGGAGGTTTTTCAAAATTTTCTAGTCCTCTGTGTTGCCAGAAATGAAAGTCTAAGGTATAAAAATTGTGGTCTTCTGTGATTCTTAGAATTAAAAAAGTTTATCATAGAGATTATAAGTCTATCCTCAAAAAATAAAGTTACACCAAGTAGATGGTTTTTTGAACAATGAGTTTTTGGCACTGAGATGTTTTCTTGTTTTCTTTACAGGGCACAGCTCTGAGTTGAAGAAAAGGTGGTGTGATTTTGAGTATTCTGAGCATTTGGAAGGAAGCCAGACATGTCTTTGGATGACATTAAGATGCAACCCAGTGACTTCCTGGAGAAGGAGTATCTAGACAGCGGGGGCTTCGGGAAGGTGTCTTTGTGTTTACACAGATCCCATGGACTCGTAATACTGAAAAAGGTGTACACGGGGCCAAAGCGCATGGAGTGAGTAGGGAGCGGGGGCAGGCTGACCCAGTTGTGGGCTGGCCCCAGGGAGCAGGGGTTGTGGGGGTGCAGGAGTGGGTGGTGGGAAAGGCTGGCACAGGCTTCAGAATGAGGCAGACTGCTGTGTAAGTGTCAGTACATGGGCTTCATGTCAGACAACCCTGCAAGGTGGTTACTACCCCTGTATAGCTGACAAGGATTTGAGGCTGTTGAAAGTTTACAGCTGGTAAATGTGGACAAGAAATGAAGGGAAGGAAATAGAGAGGGAAGGAGATCAAGGGTGATGAGGACGGCGATGAAAAGGAAATGGGAGGGATCGGTGAAAATAGACTTGCTTCACAGTTTGGGAAGGACTAGCCTTAAGTATGGAGAAGAAAAAAGGTGGTTCAGCCCTGGCCGGTTTGGCTCAGTGGTTAGAGTGTCGGCCTGTCGTCCACAGAGACCCGGGTTCGGTTCCCGCTAAGGGCACGGACCTCGGTTGCAGTTTGTCCCCGGCCCTGGTTGGTTGTGCGGGTGGCAGCCACTTGATGTGTCCCTTTCACGTCGATGTTTCTCTCTCTGTCTCTCTTCCTCTCTCTCCCACCCACTCTATCTGAACAAAAAATGGAAAAAAATGTCCTCGGGTGAGGATAAAAATAAATAAATAAAAAAATTTTAAAAAGGTGGTTCATTCATTAGCGGTTCCAGGAACACTTTCTTTAAAACAATTGGTAGTGCCATTTTTCTTCTTTCTCTCTTGCCAGAGTGGTTGGGAGAGAGGCTGCATGTTTTATTATACTGTCCAGCACAGTTCTCTTTTCAGGCAATGTGCCATTGTTGCTCTTCATGTACTGTTCACTCATTTGCTCCTCACGTTTACATTTGAGCTCTCGCTGCCAGTCGCTGGGAAGGAGGAATCACTCTGCCTTCTAAAGCTTGTAGTCAGTGCCTGGCAGAGACCAGTACACGAACAAGTAGTGACACAAGCATGTGCAACGGGTGCCTTAAAGATGTGGACTGCATTTGTGGGGGCACAAAGGGAAGGGGGCTTACTCTGCCCATCTTCACAGCACCTTTGCCTCCCACAGGTACAATGAGTCCCTCCTTGAGGAGGGCAAGATGATGCACAAGCTGAGGCACGAGCGGGTGGTGAAGCTCCTGGGCATCATTATGGAGGAGGGGAACTACTCGCTCGTCATGGAGTACATGGAGAAGGGCAACCTCATGCACGTGCTCAAAGCCAAGGTATGAGGGCTGTGCTACGCATGGTGTGTACGGCGACTGGTTGCACTTGTCTGAGATGGTTATTGCTTTCTCTTCTTTCGTAGCTTGTTGGTGAAAATAATCCTTTTGTGGATTGCTAGATACTTGGGGATTTCTGGTCAATCCCTCATTCAATCCTCCCTGACTTCCCTGCGCAGAGGGTGGCCGGGCCCTTCTCTCATCCCTGCAGACAGTCGCTGTGCCCCTGTTGCCAGCCACTCTGAGGTCTACAGTGCAGAGACAGGCCCTGTCTGCATGAAGCACATGGTCTGATGTCGGGTATATGCACAATGGATAACAATTAAAGATGGATTGTTTGGTTGATTAAAGAATGTGTTCTGTAAAGGCCTGTATGAGAAGGAGTATTAATGATTGCACATTGGTAGCATTTAAGAAACTTACACCTTAAATGTACAACATCAGAGAGGCAACAACACTGGATAAGTAAGACTTTACAACAGGAAAATAAAAAGTTTACCAAAACCTAACAATTCTAAAGCACTTTTAAAAGTTTCTGTACCGCCTGGCCGGTGTGGCTCAGTGGTTGGGCATCACCCATGCACCATGAGGTCGCCAGTTCAATGCCTGGTCAGGGCACATGCCCAGGTGGTGGGCCTGATCCCCAGTGGGGGGCACGCAGGAGGTGGCCAGTTGATGTTCTCTCTCATCGATGTTTCTATCTCTCTCTCGCTCTCCCTTCCTCTCTCTCTAAAAATCAGTAACGAAAAAAATTTTTTTTTAAGTTTCTGTACCTGTTAAGAGCAAGGCATTATGCTAGTTGCTCAGGAAGCAGCAGCAAATATGACAGACATGTCAAGGGGTCAGATGGGAATTAGAGTGGTGTGTGATGTTTTAAAAAAAAATTTTTTTATTGATTTTTAAAAAGAGATGAAGGGAGAGGGAGAGAGAGACAGAAACATTGATGAGAGAAAACATCAGGAGAGGGAGAGAGAGATAGAAACATCCATGAGAAAACATCGATTGGCCGCCTCCTGCATGCCTTCCCCGGGGGGATCAGGCTCACAACCTGGGCATGTGCCTTGACCTCAAATCGAGCCTGCGACTTCTTGGTGCATGGGTCGACACTCGACCACTGAGCCACACCAGCTGGGCTGACATTATGTTATCTTATAGATTAATCTTTGCATGTTCTAATCAGTGTGAGCACATTCCCTTGTATTCTTTTTTTCTCTTAACATTACTTCTTTTTTTTTTTTTTTTTGTAGCATTCTCTGGCACTAGGGTGTTCTTTATTTTTTTATCCTCACTGAGGACATTTTTGCATTCATCCTCAGACAGAGTGGGAGGGAGAGAGGGAGAAACATCGATGTGAGAGAGACATGGAGTGGCCGCTACCCACACAACCCCAACTGGGGCCGGGGACAAACCGCAACTGACGCATACGCCCTCAGTGGGAACCCAACCCGGGACTCTCCAGTCCACGGGCCGACGCTCTCTTAACATTATTTCATACACACATTTCCATAACATTTTTTACATATTTAACACAAAATAGAATATCATATTAATACACCATAGATAATATTTGTTTTTGGCATATTTATTCATTCATTCATCAAACATTCCAGGCACCATGCTAGGTAGTAAGCCTACATCCTAAATAATAATAGTAATAATAATCTTTTGTTCTCAAGGAGTGTAATTGTATAGCATTTTTATATATTACCATATTGTCATGGAAGTTTCAGTTTTACTCTGAAAAGCACACCATTAATACCCTTAGCACCTGCGGTGAACTCCTGCTTCCGAAGGGGGCTTGCTTCACAATGTCAGCAGTGCTGCAGGTGGGAGAGGAGGCAGCCTGGTGGCTGGGTGTCCTCGAGCGGGCCCCCACTGCTCTCGAACCAGACAGTTGCTTTGGCCTGTTTGATTACCTTTCCATTTCATGCACCTAATTTTACTTGTTTTAGACCAGTATCCCCCTTTCTGTGAAAGGAAGGATAATTATGGAGACCATTGAAGGAATGTGCTATTTACATGGAGAAGGTGTGATACACAAGGACTTAAAGCCTGAGAATATCCTTGTTGATGACAACTTTCACATTAAGGTAAACCATAACCGAAAGGCTTGGAGAAGATTGGGGTAGTTTTACTTTAACTCTTCGCTGGGAATCCATTTTTGTGCCTGGTGACTCAAAGGAAGCCCCAGCTCAGTTTCTCACTGGTGAGGGTGGTGCCGAAAGGCTCTACCAAGGACTGAAAAGGAAGATTCAGACTTGATGGAGTTTATATTTTTCACGTAGTCATGTACTTTCACCTGCATTTTTTATATTTCCTTTTTAAAATTTACTCCAACTCTTTTCATTGAGTTGGAAAGTAGAAAGATATTTTGTTGTTGTTCACTTTATATTTAAGTAAGTGGGGTCATCATAGCTAATTGGCTCTGGCAGCGGACCAAGTGCAGAAATCTGAAAGGGGAAGAGCCTGGGGGTGAGGACCTGGGACTGCGCTCACAGGCATCCCTCTGCCAGAGGGTCTGTGCCCAACACTTCGTCCTAGTCTTGGACAGGTTTTTATTCCTGTCCTAAGGGGAATCTACATTAATAATATATCTTTTATATTTCTGGGTTAGAATCTGTGGATTTTACATAACCACAAGCCAAAATTCATCTCCAAATGCTTGGATTCCTAGAGGCAAAAGTGAAGCTGTCACCTTTGATTTCTGCTTCACTGTGTTGTTCTGTCGTTTTGCTGTGCCACGTCTCTCTGCGTTTTGTGTCTGACCTTGCTGTTTTTCTCTCTGCTTTTTGTGTTTTTCTCCTCCTTCCCCTCCCATCTTCTCTTAGATTGAGGCTTCCAACTTAAAACCAGTAACAGCACAGCCCTCCTCCTCAGGGTGTCTTTGGAATCCTTGGAAACTCGAATCCGTGGGCTTTTGGACACCATTTGGGAAAATGCTATACGTCACTGTCTGCTATACAAGTCTGCTGAGAAGAAAATCCTTTTTCCCTCCAGAAATAGTTGAAAAACACATGCAGAGTCAAGGAGGAATTAGAGCAAACAGGTTTTGTTCATGTCAGAAATGTCTTCTGTTTTGCCTCCTTTCTTCCGCTCCTACCATCCTCTTCTGCAGTTTTCCTGTTTTGTTTTGTTTTGTTTTAATTACATAAGAGTTGAGATACCAACATTTCACATGTACATTTCTTAGGGGAGATTTTCCAGATGGATGAGGAAATAGAGTTTCTAAGTTTGTTTAGAAGTAGCTGTTTTAACCTTATCCACTGCAACCATTTCTGAAAAAATTCACTGTACCTCACGTCTATATGATAAGCCCCAAATTTAAAGACAAATCTTATTTGCTTGTAATCTTCACAGAACAATGCCATTGGTTTAACCTCTTGCAGATAGCTGATCTTGGCGTTGCTTCCTTTAAGACATGGAGTAAGCTGACTAAAGTGGAACAGAACGAGCAGAAGGAAATGAAGAGTGCTTCTAAGAAAAATGGCGGCACCCTCTATTACATGGCCCCTGAGCACCTGAATGATATCAATGCCAGGCCCTCGGAGAAGTCAGACGTGTACAGCTTTGCCATAGTCCTGTGGGCAATATTTGCAAACAAGGAGCCATATGAAAGTAAGACATTTATAAAGGAGTGGGATTTGGGTATTAATCAGAATTGTTAAATGAAGTAATGGCCTTCAATGAAGTCAGTTGAAATTTATAATTGTTTGTTCCTCTCATGTTTCTCTTACCCACTAGACTATAAGCTCCACAAGGCTAGGATTGCATCTGATTTTTTCATTGCTATTTCCCCAGTAGCTACACAAACAGTGCCAGGAACATCGTAGGTGCTCAACAAATTTTTGTTAACTAAATGACTGTCAGTTTAGGAATCAGGGTCATGGGACAAATAGGAGCCTTGATAATGCATCTAAGCTTGGGAGGTGCTATAAAAGTTCAGGGTTCTTCCTGAACAGGAAAGATTGATGGCTTCTGTGTATGAGGACTTTCCCTTTTGTGCTGCAAGGCATACATGCCCAACTTTCATCCATTCACATCCTTCTTCATTCAAGAATTATTTCATTTCAGAACTTATATGGGCACTTTAATCAGAATTGAGAATGTAAAGACGAAACAGATTTGTGCAAGAGAACAGATACATAAATAGTCATTCTTCAGTTTATTAAATGCCTAAACTAATGGGCATTGCCTACCTATTTTTCTTTGGGTGATTATTAGCTCCCATGGTTTAATGATCACCTGTTTGCCCATGCCTTTCAAATCCCTTATCTCTAGCCCTGGCCTAGATACCCACTTGTCTGTCAGTCAGATTTAGTACATGTACCAGAGAAACCCCAAAGCAACATCCCCCAAACAAATTCATCTTCTGCCTGCTTTCCTTGTAGCCCACTCAGCTCTGCAACTCTTTTTATGTTTAGCTGTGGCATCACCATCCATCTGCTGAGTTGCCCAACCAGAAACGTTAGTCATCACAGACTCAGCCTTGTTCCTCATCTTTCATATTCAATCAGACATCAAAACCTACGAAGTCAAAGTGTGCATATTGATACATCCTGAATCCACCCACTTCTTTCTATCACCACTGGACTGTTTAGTCAAACCCTCTGTATTTATGCAGTAGGCTCCTCGTATGCATCCACTGTTCACACTGCAGCCCCACTGGTCGTCCCCAAAGGAAATACGATCATCTCACTCATGCATCTAAAATCCTTCCTACACTCTCTGTGGCCTCAAGGATGCATTAGTATGAAATTCAAGGCCCTTTCTGATTTGGCTTTTCCTTCTTTCTCTAGCCTTATTCCTTCTCTTTCCTTAGTCAGTATGCTGTTATACTGAACTACTCATAATTTCTGGATACATCATGATTTATGGAACCTCCAGTATATTTATATCGTACTTCCCTAGCCCATAATCATTCTCTCTCAGTCCCTCCCCATTTTTTACCTGGGTAACTCCTTATTTTTCTGGACTCAACAAAGCCTGCTCTGAACTTCTGGTAAAGGTTGTGTTCTCAGAAATCCTTGTACTTACTTCTTGAGTAGCAGTCATCACTACATTTTAAGCCACTCATTAATATGCCATTTGTTCTATCAGCTTTCTTGTGAAGTCTGTCTTTCATCTACAGAAATTAAAATGTTGTGTGGCTGCTTGCTAAAGGACCTCTCTGCCCCTACCAACCGCGGCAGCTTTACTAAAACCATGTCCTAGGCAGAGAGAGATTAGTGATGGTGTCCACATTCTGTCACCTCCATGCCTGAAAGAAGCAGGACCTGAAATTCAAGGTCCTGAAAGTCTAAACTTAAGCTCTTCTTTGCTTTATAGATGCTATCTCTGAGCAGCAGATGATAATATGCATTAAATCTGGGAACAGGCCAGATGTGGACATCATCATTGAATACTGCCCAAAGGAGATTATCAGCCTCATGAAGCAATGCTGGGCAGCAGATCCAGAAGAACGGCCAACATTTGCTGGTAAGAACATCTTTTAGGACTATGTACAGTCACTGAAGTGGTGATTCTCCTAGTAAGATGTTGTCAGGAAGTTTCTTTGAGTCTTCAAAAAACTGAGTTCCACTTGTGATTTGAAACTGATTTTCTAGATTTCAAACATTTTTTTTTTCAATGAAAAGAGGCCATCCCTCCCAAAAGCACATTTTTTTGCATAATTAACTTTTAAAAAATTGTGTTAAAATATAACACATCTGTTACCATTTTATTTATTTATTTATTTCAATTATTTATTTATTTATTTTTTTCAATTTTATTTTTGTTACAGATGTTTCTCCTTTTTTACCCCATTGACACCCTCCTTCCCATCCTCCCCACCCCATCCCGGGTTTTGTTGTCCATGTCCATGGGTTATGCATACATGCATATAAGTTCTGTGGTTTATCTCTTCTCTCCCCCCATCACCCCCTCTTCTGAGGGTTGTCAGTCTGTACCCTACTTCCACGTCTCTGGGTCTACCCTATTCCTCAGACTGTTATGTTCATTATACTCTACAAATAAGTGAGATCATGTGGTATTTGTCTTTTTCTGCTTCGCTTGTTTCACTTAGGATAATACTTTCCAGGTCCCTCCATGTTGTCTCAAAGGATAAGAGATCTTTCTTTCCTACAGCTGCATAGTACTCCATTGTGTATATGTACCACGGCTTTTTTATCCATTCGTCTACTGATGGACATTTGGGCTGTTTCCAGATCTTAGCTATTGTAAATAGTGTGCTATGAACATGGGGGGTACATATATTCTTTCTGATTGGTGTTTCAGGTTTCATAGTGTATATTCCTAGAAGTGGGATCACTGGGTCAAATGGCAGTTCAATTTTTAATTTTTTGAGGTAACACCATATTGTTTTCCATAGTGGCTGCACCAGTCTGCATTCCCACCCCCAGTGTACTAGAGTCCCCTTTACTCCAAACCCTTGCCAACACTTGTTTGATTATTTGTTGATGGCAGCCATTCTGACAGGTGTGAGGTGATACCCCTTTGTTGTTTTAATTTGCATCTCTCTGACGGTTAGTGATGTTGAGCATTTCTTCATATGTCTCTTGGCCATTTGTATGTCCTGTTTGGAGAGCTGTCTATTCAGCTCCTCTGCTCATTTTTTAATTGGGTTCTTTGTCTTCCTTTGTTGAGTTGTATGAGCACTCTATATATTTTGGAAATTAACCCCTTATCTGATGTATCACTGGCAATGATGCTCTCCCATACAGTGGGTTGCCTTTCCATTTGGATGATTATTTCTTTTGCTGTGCAGAAGTTTTTGAATTTGACGTAGTCCCATGTGTTCATTATCTCCTTTATTTCTGTTGCCTTAGTTTTGCATGTAGCTGTCCAATGTTCCCAACACCATTTATTAAAGAGGCTGTCCTTTCTCCATTGTATGCTGTTGCCTCCTTTGTCAAATATTAATTGAGCATAATGTCTTGGGTCCATTTCTGGGTTCTCTGTTCTATTCCACTGGTCTATATGCCTGTTCTTATGCCAGTACCAGGCTGTTTTGATTACAATCACTTTGTAGTATAACCTGATTTCTGGTATTGTGATCCCACCTACTTTGTCCTTCTTTTTCAAGATTGCTGTGGCTATTTGGGGTCTTTTTTGGTTCCATATGAACTTTTGAAGTATTTGTTCTAGTTCTGTGAAATATGTTGTTGGTATTTTGATGGGGATTGCATTGAATCTGTAGATTGCTTTGGGTAATATGAACATTTTAATGATGTTAATTCTTCCAATCCATGAACAAGGTATGTGCTTCCACTTTTTTATATCTTTCTCTAGTTCTTTTTTCAATGTCCTATAGTTTTCTGCAAATAGGTCCTTTACTTCTTTGGTTAAGTTTATTCCTAGGTATCTTAATTTTTTTACTGCGATGGTAAATAGGATTGTTTTTTCAGTTTCTCTTTCTGTGAGTTCATCATTGGTGTATAAGAATGCTGTCGATTACTTGACATTAATTTTGTATCCTGCTACTTTGCCAAATTCATTTATTAAGTCTAGTAGATTTTTGATGGAGTCTTTAAGGTTTTCTATGTATAATATCATGTCATCTGCAAATAATGACAGTTTCACTTCCTCCTTTCCAATTCGGATCCCATTTATTTTTTCTTCCTGTCTGATTGCTGTGGCTAAGACTTTCAGTACTATGTTAAATGAGTGGCGAAAGTGGGCATCCCTGTCTTGTTCCTGTTCTTAAGGGAAATGCTTTTAGTTTCTGCCCATTGAGTATGATGTTGGCTGTAGGTCTTTCATATATGGCCTTTATTATGTCGAGATATCCCTCTATTCCCAGATTGCTGAACATTTTTATCAGAAATGGATGCTGGATTCTGTTGAATGCTTTTTCAGCATCTATTTATATGATCATGTGATTTTTATTCTTCATTTTGTTTATGTGGTGTATCACATTTATTGATTTGTGAATATTGTGCTCCCTGGAATGAATCCCACTTGGTCATGGTGAATAATTTTTTTTTTTTTTTCCATTTTTTGTTCAGGTAGAGTGGGAGGGAGAGAGAGGAACAGAGAGAGAGAGAGAGAAACATCGATGTGAAAGGAACACATCGAGTGGCTGCCACCTGCACAACTGCCCAGGGCCGGGGACAAACTGCAACCGAGGTACGCGCCCTTAGCGGGAACCGAACCCGGGTCTCTTAGGACCGCAGGCCGACGCTCTAACTGCTGAGCCAAACCAGCCAGGGCTGAATAATTTTTTTGACGTATTGCTAGTATTTTGGCCTCTATATTCATCAGGAATATTGGCCTTTAGTTTTCTTTCTTGTAGTGTCTTTTTCTGGTTTTGGAATTAGAATTATGCTGGCCTCATAAAAGAAGTTTGGAAGTCTTTCTTCTTCTTGAATTTTTTGAAATAGTTTGAGGAGAATGGGTGTCAGTTCTTTTTTGAATGTTCGGTAAAATGCCCCGTGAAGCCATCTGGGCCTGGGCTTTTGTTTGCCGGGAGAGTCTTGATTACCTCTTCAATTTCCTTAGTTGTTATTGGTCTGTTCAAGTTTTCTATCTCTTCCCAGTCCAGTTGGGAGACTGTGTGTTCCTAAAAATTTGTCCATTTTGCTTAGATTGTCGAATTTGTTGCCATATAATTGTTCATAGTAGTTGTTAACGATCTTTTGTACTTCCGTGGTGTTGGTTGTTACTTCTCCTCTTTCATTTCTGATTTTGTGTATTTGGGTTCTCTCTCTTTGTTTCTTGGTGAGTCTAGCTAAAGGTCCATCAATCTTGTCTATCTTTTTGAAAAACCAGCTCTTTGTTTCATTGATCCTTTGAATTGTTTTTTTGGTTTCCATGTTATTTATTTCTGCTCTGATCTTTACTATTTCCTTCCTCTGCTTTCTCTGGGGTTTTCTTTTTGTTTGCTTTCAAGTTCTTTAAGTTGTGAGGTTAGATAGTGTATTAGAAATTTTTCTTGTTTCTTGAGGTAGGCCTGTAGTGCTATGTACTTCCCTCTCAGAACTGCTTTCGCTGCATCCCATAGATTTTGTGTTGTTGTGTGTTCATTTTCATTGGTTTCCAGGAAGTTTTTAATTTCTTCCTTGATCTCCCTGGTAACCCATTCATTGTTTAATAGCATGCTATTTAGCCTTCATGTGTTCAAATGTCTTTGCATGTTTTGTTGCAATTGATTTCTAGTTTCATGCCATTGTGATCTGAGAAGATGCTTGATATGATTTCAATCTTCTTGAACTTGTAGAGATTTAGTTTGTGGTCTATCTTTGAGAATGTCCCATGTGCACTTGAGAAGAATGTGAATTCTGTAGTTTTGGGGTGTAATTCTCTGTAGATATCTATTAAATCCATTTGGTCTAGTGCTTCATTTAGAGTCTCTGTTTCCTTGCTAAGTTTTTTGTTTAGAGGATCTATCCAGTGATGTCAACGGGGTGTTGAAGTCCCCTGCTATGATTGTATTGCTGTCGATTTTTCCTTTGAAGTCCTCCAGAAGGTTTTTATTTATATAATATATTTTGGTGCTCCTATATTGGGTACATATATGTTTATCAAGGTTATATCTTCCTGTTGGATAGATCCTTTCAATATTATGTAGTGGCCTTCTTTGTCTCTAGTTATGGCCTTCAGCTTGAAATCTATTTTATCAGATATGAGTATTGCTACCCCAGCATTTTTTTCCTTTCCGTTTGCTTGGAAAATTTTTTTCATCCCTTCACTTACAACCTATGTGAGTCTTTTTTTAAGAGGTTGGTTTCTTGTAAACAACATATAGATGATTCATGCTTTCTTATCCAATCAGCTACTCTGTGTCTTTTTTTATCAGAGCATTCAGTCCATTTACATTTAAGGTGATTATTGATATGTACTTATTCATTGCCATTTTTGTTTAGTGTGGTTATATTTTTCTTACTATTTCTTCTACTAATTACAGCATTCCTTTTAACATTTCTTGCAGTGCTCATTTGGTGCTAATGTATTCTCTTCGTCTTTTTTTGTTTGGGAAGCTCTTTATTTGACCTTCTATTTTGAATGATAGCCTTGCTGGATAAAGTAGTCTTGGATTCAGATCCTTGTTTTTCATGACCTTGATTACTTCATGCCACTCCCTTCTGGCCTGTGGTGTTTCTGTTAAGAATTCAGCTTATAGCCTTATTGGGGTTTCTTTGTAGGTAACCTGTTGCTCATCTCTTGCTGCTTTTAGGATTCTCTTTTTGTCATTAATTTTTGGCATTTTAATTACTATGTGTTTTGGTGCGTGCCTGTTTGGGTTCTTCTTACTTGGGGCTCTCTGTTCTTCTTGACCTTGAATGCCTTCTTCCTTCACCAAATTAGGGAAGTTTTCTGTCACTATTTCTTCAAATATATTCTCTAACCCTTGCTTATTTTCTTCTTCTTCGGGGACTCCTATGATGTGAGTATTATTATGTTTCCAGTTGTCCCACAGTTCTCTTAAGCTGTCTTCCTGTTTTTTAATTGTTTTTCTCTTTTGGTTTTCTGATTGGTTG